GCGGCTGTGGCCCGCGCTGGTCGTGCTGGCGGCCGCCGCGGCGGGCTGCGCTCGGGCAGCCATGGACGAGTGCGCGGACGAGGGCGGGCGGCCGCAGCGCTGCATGCCCGAGTTCGTCAACGCCGCCTTCAACGTGACCGTGGTGGCCACCAACACGTGCGGGACTCCGCCCGAGGAGTACTGTGTGCAGACCGGGGTGACCGGGGTCACCAAGTCCTGTCACCTGTGCGACGCCGGGCAGCCCCACCTGCAGCACGGGGCAGCCTTCCTGACCGACTACAACAACCAGGCCGACACCACCTGGTGGCAGAGCCAGACCATGCTGGCCGGGGTGCAGTACCCCAACTCCATCAACCTCACGCTGCACCTGGGTAAGCGGTGACAGCCCTGCCCCCCGCTCCTCGCCCGCAGCCAGCCCCCGGACCGTCTCCAGCCGCGTCCAGAGGGGCCCGGACGGCCGCGTGCTGACTCTGCGCCCCCGGCATGGCCACACAATTGCCTTTCTCCCACTTCGTAGATAGATCGGGCTTTTACCACGAGCGAGGGCTGAGATGTCCCGCTCCGGTATCTCTGTTTGCTTTCCTATTTTTTTTTTCCTTCTAACTTAAAGGGGTTCTCGTTCTTGATTATTCGCCTTTTCAGCTGCTAGGATTTTACCCCCGCGCCACCTTTTTGAAGCGTCTGCATCGAAACTACCCCCCTCGCCTTTCTCTTTCCTAGCTGGGACATCACCGGGCATTCTTGGGTCAGAGCGAAAAGGTCCACCTTAAACACCCTTGCCTTTACAACGTTTAGATGTTTCTCCAGGGCGGGGGGCGATTGCTCTTTGCTCTGTTAAGGGAATTTGAGGGTAGCAAATGCCTTCACTGCCTATATTGCCTACGTGTAATTAAAATAGAAATTCACTTTTAAAGTTCTCGTTCTTCAGAGCCGTTCGGCCTTAATTAAGAGCCACAAAGCTATTTCAACTGCTAATCCTGGTGCAGAGAAAACAAAAGGAAGTGCACTCACTGTAATTGCTGGGCACAGTTTTGTCCCTGGGTAAAACTCTCCTTTACTGCCTTCCTTTCTCTTTGACTCAAAGCAAGTTTAGAAACACGTATAAGTGACCTTTTAGAAACCAGGAGAGGGATATATATAGAAAACTTCATGGCAGGGCGGTGGATGATGAGGATGGACTTGTGTATTTGAAAGTGCCAAAAATAATGTTTGATCTAGGTAAGTTTTCCTTCATCATTGAGATCTACAAGTAAGCAGGAAGTTTCCTTATTGTGTTGAACAGAGTAACTGATGCTCAGAACTGACATTTGGTTTGTAGGCTTCACTCCCCACTGCACTGGGAGACTTGATTTTACCTGTAGCTGGTAGGAATGAACTTGCAGAGAAAACAGACTGCCCCAAGCCATTTTTCTGTCGAGGCAGGGGGATTCTGTGAAGTTGATAATATTTGGGGATGTTTGAAAGGAACGTTTAGTAGGCAAATGGTTCTTTTGGTTATAACTTTGTATTTTTCTTTCCACTGCTCTGTGCACACTAAACTTTAAGTAGCAAGATTCTAGAGAAAGAATATGACTTATAAAAAGTGCTTTGAAACATGGGATTAAATTACTGTGTGTGGAGTAAGTTTTAGAAAAGCAGAAGTATTTAACACTTTTGTGATAAATACATTTTATTTGTAGATGAGTCATTAAGCAGAGGAAACTTTGAAAATAAGCTCATAAAATGACATGGAGGTACCTGTTTTTCAGAGATTGAAGAAGTAAGCTGTACCGAGTTCAGTTTTTTAAAGATACTGGAAATGTGTCCACCTAGTAGTGTCTTGGAACAGGTAGTGTTTCCAGCAACGTTGCAGGAGACCCGGGTTTCCTAGGATCTGTGTGCATGCTTTTTAACTATTTTCTCCCATTATGTTTTTTAAGTTGACCAAAATTATTTTTGAAATTTATATCCAAGTATTTTTGTTTAGCTTTTAACTTTTTAAAGTTTCTGTGTTCAAGTTTGAATACCCCTGAAATGTCATTTTATCCATTTTCAGATTTTAAGATGTTCAAAGAAAATTTTGTTGTCTCAGAGTGCCTGAGAGTCAGTTGAAAATTCCTGAACAACAGTCTCTTATTTGAATAAAGGTGGGGCTGTCAATCTTGTCTCCCTGAGTTTTCTGTGGCTAAAGGCTATTTCAGGTGATTGCAGAGGTAGATAGATGACTAGGTGATAATTTCTCTGTTGCAAAGATAAGTAGAGTAAAGCCAATATCATTCAAGTTAGGTTACTACTACTGGAAAGCAGATTATTAACTTTGGGTCAAGGTGATTTAAAGGTCAAAAGAGATCTTGGCATTCACCTTGTTAGGAGGACTCCAAATATGACTTTTTTGCTCTAAAGATATTACACAGTTGGACCTCTTTTTGCTGAAAAATGTCTCGTTTTTTGACAATAGTCTTACTAAATGAAGTTCATAAGACTGTGGGTTTAAAACTTGTAAGTTAAAAAAAGTTAAAGTATTTTCATACAACTGTTGTGATTAACTGTAAAACTATATACTTTAAACTTTTTAGTTAAACAGTTTATAAAAACTGGACTAGAATTTATCATACTTGTTCTTGGATCAGAAAGGATGCCCTGGAGAAAATCGTGTATGGTGGGGGAGGTGAGAAGGGGAAGAGAGATTTGTGTATAGTGGGATTGGTGTTTCTTTCTCTCTTCCTTTCCTTTTATTTTTGATAACAAGGATATATGCATACATGTATGTTATGATCAACAATTTATGACAAATAGGCAAGGCTTTATGTGTCACTGTGATTTTGGTGTTCGGTACATTTACTCCCTAACTCCAGTGGCTCCATGGGCTGTAGCTAACTAATTATTTCCCATGGATTCAAGTACCATGACTGTTTTGTGCATCTGTTAATTCTCCCATCCAGTTCAGATTTCACATACCCTTAAACAAGTGATGCATATTGTGCTTTGCCCTTGCAGAGCATGTGAAACTGGAAATGAGCAGTGGGAAAGAACTGGGTCTAGCCACCACTTTTCTGATGTTAAACTTTAAATACAGTAAACTTTAAAATAAGCAGAGTCAGAGCACTTAAGTAGTACAAGGAACCTATGTGTTTGACACTGGTCATAAGTAACTTTTTTAAATTATAAAAATGAGACACGATGTAGTAAATTAACAAAATAAGTGTAATGACAAGTGAGTCTCTTTACCCCTGGCTGCTAAGCTCCATGCCCCAAAGACACCATTCACAATTTCTTTTTTTTTTTTTTTCTCTTGGAGTTGGAGTCTTACTCTTTTTCCCAGGCTTGAGTGCAGTGTTCATGGCTCACTGCAGCTCTGACCTCCTGGGCTCCGGGGATCCTCCCACCTCAGCCTCCTGAGTAGCTGGGATACAGCCATGTGCTAACACGCCTGGCTAATTTTTTGATTTTTTTGTAGGGATGAGGTCTCACTACGTTGCCTAGGTTGGTCTCAAACTCCTGTGCTCAAGTGATCCTCCTGCTTTGGCTTCCCAGAGTGCTGGGATTACAGGAAAGAGATACTGTGCCCAGCCCACAATTTTTTATGTAACCCTCCAGAAATTTTTAATGCATACATGTGTATACATAAAGTTACGCGATATTTTATCTGGTACTTTTTTTTTTTTTTTTTTTTTGAGTTGGAGTCTCACTCTTTTGTCCAGACTGGCCTCAGCCTGCTGGGCTCCGGCGATCCTTCCGCCTCAGCCTTCCAAGTGGCTGGAAATACAGGCGTGCGCTACCACGCCCGGCTAATTTTTGATTTATTGTAGAGATGAGGTCTCACCAAGTTCCCCAGGCGGATCTCGAACCCGCGGGGTCAGGCAATCCACTCACCTCAGCCTCCCAAAGGCGCGGGATTACAGGCTGAGCCACTGAGCCTGGCTATCTGGTACTTTTTTGAGGGCTGAGGCATATACAAATTAGATCGTTGTACCAGTGTCATCACTTGCTGTACAAAAGCCAGGAAAGTCAATGTTGATTCTGAGGGCACCCACGTCTTAAGCACCATATACAGGAATCCAGGGTGCAGAGTGCAGTGCATCCTTGGATGGAAAGAGTTAAAGTTGCTGTGGGACTGCACTTTCTGCCTGTTGTGGAGAGAAATCTCAGCCAGGCACCCTTTTCTAAGAAAAAGACCTTTAAAAAAAAAATTTCCTTCAAATTCTTCTGGGTTTTCTTTCCTAACTTCTGTGTGGATTATTCAGTTCCTGTTAAAAAGTTTGACTTTTATGTCTTATGATAATAAGTCACAATAAGTTATATCAGTGTCAGTGGGGTAGTTGATAAGAAGATTGTAGCTGAGGATTTGCCTTTTATTAAACAGTCCCTTTAATTAATTTGATAACCAGTGTGGATGGAAACTTGGCGGATAAGATCTTGATTTTGGAGAAAGATAGCTTTGCCTCTTTCTAAATACAATTAGATTAAGGAAAAAAGTGCTTATAAAACCAACTCCTTCAAAGTTCATGGAACTCCTAAAATTAACACTAAACACTGAAACCAGATTAGTTTCCAAGATCTTCATAAACTTTAGGAACAGAAGGTGGTTAAATGAATCTCTGAATAGCCTTTCTGATTGTGTAAACCAGAAAAATTGATGTACAAAGGAATTACTTTTTATTCTGTTTGGTCCTCTGATGAGTATGTATTTAACATGGCACAAATAGCAGGGTTTCTTTTTTCCCCCCCAGGAAATCCTTTGCAAGGTAGGTTCTGACTACATCAGGGAATAGCTCACTCTGCTGGTGACTTCACAGTGGTATTTGTGCACCCTGAGGGGACACTGTTTTGGTTTGTCTCACAAAGGCCTGATTTACATTTTGCAGGTTTCGACTTGAGCTCTTCTTTAATGACCAGTAGTTGTTGAACACAGTTTTATAAAGTTGCTGTTGACTGTTTTCCTGTTCTACAGTTCACTGCTTTTTTTTGGAAATTCCTACTCCATTGTATAAGGACATTCAGAAAAGAATTTACACACTGGGGGAGACTATAAGGCATCCCCCTTGCTCCATTCATTTATCATTGGTTGCATTTGTAGGAGGAATAAAGTTTTTCTCTTTCAATTCTAAATCATTTAAGGAAGTTGAATATGCCAGTTGTTAGTCACCCTTTACCCCATGCATCTATTCTCATGTTACTGCCAAATAGTCCACAAACATTTAAAAAAAATACCTGTGAAATACATACCCCTGTACCTGATAGAAAGATGCAGAAGATTGAGGGTGCTGTCTTCAGAAGCTTATTCTCTATTAGGTGGAATTTATGGCTGGATGCAGTGGCTCATGCCTATAATCCCAGCACTTTGGGACACTGAGGCAGGAGAATTGCTTGAGCCCAGGAGTTCAAGACCAGC